TGGCTCTTGGTAACATTTTTCCTCTGTTGTTTTGCAACCACAAACAACAGAGGAACAAACTTTCAAACCTGTCTGCTCTTCAAAACTCTAGGCAAAAGAACATGATAACAAAGGAAAAAGCCTGAGATCTGCTGAAGAGGCCACAGCTGCAGGGATGGATCACCAAACGCTCTGGCATCAGCAGATATTCAGCCCCTCTGCAGACATGCTGGACCGTTGTGCCTGATGGCCGGGAGCCAACACCTGCTGTTCAGGTGTCGACATCTCCTTTTCTCTTCCAGTGATGAGGGTACTTCTGTGCAGAGAGGTTTAAGGGCACCAGCACAGGGGCTGCATGAGCAGAGGGATGTATCTGGGCCACATTTTGACAAAATTAGAAAAACAACCTTTATCACAAGCACGATTTTGGTGCCCTTAGAGCAAAAAAAGAGGTGGAACTGCTGGGGAGCCGTGCGCAGCTGGGGCACCTGGTGTTTGCATTGGCCTTGAACTCACCTCCAAAAATGTCTCTCAGCCGTGCATTGCGCATCCCCCACTCTCCAGCATCCCCAGCCTGGGTTCACTCTCATCTGCCGTGCAGACTGGGTGTCACACTCTTGGAAAGGGATTAAAAGCATCACAAGGTCGTTGATTCACCACTGATTTACCACAGGAACCTTCATAATAATTCTTACTATATAGTTTAATGTCCACAGATTATTTTTCCTCTTGAAAACTGTCAAGCTTGGAAACAGAACTGCTTTTAGAGTGGCATGATAAGAGCAAAATCCTGCTCAGGTCTTCGCATTGTGGGCTGCCACGTGTGACCCTTTGGGAGCTCACGGCTGTTTCTGGAGTTTCATCCAGGGCGTTCGCATTTGCGCTGGTTATAACGCCTGCAGCAGGGTCCCAAAACATCACAGATAGAACTGCCTGTACAGCTGCTAACAAGCAAGTTAAACATGGAGTAAGAAAAAATGACAAGTATTGTTGTTACACTAACATACTCCCATGGGTATCGTGAAGCCAAGCTTTCAGTTTATCAGGGAACTGAATTCAAATAGTTTTTTTCAAGGTGCCAAAAAAGGTGGCAGATAAGGATGCCAAGTTACTATAGTAACCATGAGAAAAGTGGTGATTATCGGCAATACCACATAGAAAAGACAGACTGGATTGTCTTTTCATTTTACATGTAGCCCATTGCTTAAAAAAATAAGCCCTTTTCTAAAATAAAGGAATACCATGGAAAAATAACTTGAATATGAAACGCATTATGCAAAATTATTTTCAAGGATTTTTCAGCCTATGCAACCTTGCCATTTGACCCAAAGTTTAGAGGATGTGCCCCTCAATAGAATGCTTTATGGCTGAAGGGTATGTGAATAATAAAGCATGACTTTTCATGTTTTCTTACCTAGTAACCATGGCAGCAGAGGGGAAAATTCAATATTGATGTCCTACTGTAAGCTCCTTAGGACAGAGTGTGTTCTTTGTTCGGCACAATGAGGCTCGCACGTACACACGGCACTTGGGTACAAGTGACAGTACTGCAAGATCAAAGATTCCAAAGTCCTAGGAGCTGCTTGGAGGAGTCCATGGCGGTGCTCAGACGTACCAGGTTGTCTGTGACCTGCAACTCAATGCTGCTGCAGCCCACAGAGATCTAAAGGCTGAAACTTGGTTATTTGGTCGGGCTTTGGAGAAAACCTCGGTAGATGGACCTAAGGCAAAAAGAATGAGAGAAATGGGGAGAATCATTGCAGCGACATAGAAACACACTGCTCTGGGCTGTGGCTAAAAAGCGTTTTAAAGATTTCTTCTTCCTCCGCAACTATCTGAAAGCTGGTTGACTCTGTTTTTTAGGAACTGGAAACAAAGCAGAGATGTCTGTCACACCTCACGTGTGTAAGGAACACAGAAAGGCCCGAGAGACCAATTGATTGACTTGTGATCTGCTGACTCCAGCAGCTCTACCAAGCTACCTTGAATTTCTCTATTTTCAATGCACATGTAAGAAACTTTAATGAAGCCTTACTGAAATTTACTGCATTTCAAAATGTTCCCAAAAATCCTAACTGATGCTAGGTCTGTAGAAATAAACCCCTGCAGACAGATTCGTTAACCTGAAACCTTATGCCTAGACACAGGTCTTTTTACCTGTTGGAAAGCACACTCTAGCGAGAACTAGGTGATTCTCATGGACTAAAACATTGCACATGACTGCCAGGAGCAAATCTCTCTGTTCTTCATCAGTTGCCATGAACGCTGGCTTTGACAAATTGGCTAAACAAAAAGCATGCTGCGTGCCAGCAGTGCTTTAGTTCTAGGTTCACGGGATGATGCTTAAGAAAAACATTGTGAGCAAAACTCACAGTCCTTGTACCTCAGCCTTTCATGCCGCTCAACTCACAGGTGTTGTTCACAGCATTATGGCAATCAGTCCTCACGGTTGTTGAAGACATAAAGCTGCTAACTAGAACACAAAGGGCAAGGATCCCAAACTGCTGATTTTGAAAAGCAGGACTTACCTATAAAATACTACTGTGCTAATGACAGGAAAACAGAGTGTATCTGGACTTGCCTATGAACCTGTCTGGAACAAGAGACTCACCCTGAACCTAGTGTCACTACCTGCCTGCCTCCTTATCCCATTAAAGGTAGGGGTAAGAGTATGGAGTCTCCAAGGGCTCCCTTGGAGACTGTCCAAGCTTTGGATGTCCATTGGTACACTTTTATGTGTGACACATTAGTGATTGCCTGCTGTGAAGCCAGAACAAGCATATCTACCCAGACAGGCACTGGCAGACAACTCGCTGGACCTTTGCAGGCCTCTGACTCGTAAATAGCACACACCAGTTTGCAGCCAGTTTTTTGCCTTTTTTTTTTTTTTCTTTTTTTTTCCCCAGAGAGTGTTTATCTCAGTAGCATCAGTGGCCCAGTCTGGATTCACAGTGGTGCCTTAGGATATCCAACCACTCCTGTGAGACGTGGGGCTACGAAAGGAAAATTAACAGTACATTTTAAATAGCCCTCGCCACAGATACAGGGAGCACGGTGCTGATCACTAAATGATGCTAAAAGGAAAGTGGTTAAATACGCACAAGCATGTACAACATAGCATCTGATTTTTGAAGGTCAAAATTATGATTTCATTGAACTTTTAAACTGATTATGGCATTAGCAAGAACAGGTACAAATCATTCTGGGAGAAACAGGCTACGGCAGGGTAAGTAAATTATCTCAACACAGTATCTGTCTTCCTGTGGATTTCAGTGCTACTCTTACTTGAATCAATTTGTGATGATATGTTTGTACCTGCCACAGAAGCCAAATACACAATCTGATCTTATGCCAAGCCACTATTAACAACTGCATTTTCAATTGATTCTAGGACATTAATTAACTGGGATCCATAATTACAAATAATTTACAGACATATCATTTTAAATCACTTCCCAGTGAGCTTACTAAGCTCACTTTATGACATTCAAATACATTATTCTTAAAATTCACTGAGTAATCAGCTTGCAAATAATTACAGTGGAATAGCACTGGATATAATAAAGTGGAAGCTTAGAACAAGAATCACCAGAAATGTCTATAGATCACTTTTGCCATGTGATTTTGACATTCCCTTCAACTGTCCCCAGAAAACCATTATGTACTGAACTGGTGGACTCCAAAGCTGCTCCACTAACCCAACTCCATTACAACACAACTCCTTGGACTTCTTGTTTCATGGGCAACCCCTGTCCCACACCTTTTCTTCAATACCAGGCAGCTGATTTTTTAAATGATTGATTTACCCTTTGAGCAAGTGTCCTGTTGGTTGGGGGGGCCATTAGTGGTGAGCAGCACTGCACAGCGTTGCAGAATCTCCCTTGCTCTGGGGCTGGAAATGCCGGGCGCTGCTTGGAGCCAAGTAGCAGCCGTGGCAATGCAGAAACATCAGGATCAGGTTAACTGGTTTTTAGAGCAGACAAAGCTTGATATGTCTCCATGCACAGTATTTTATTCGTTCCATATAATGATTTCATTTTCAATGGCTATGTACGATCTGGTTTATATCTACAATCTTTCTCCATGGTCAATAGGGATATTTTATGTACCATAGAAAAAAAAAATTGCACAGTAATGCAGGCAATTTAAATCTCTAAGTTGGAACTTTAGGACCCTCACTGAAAACTGCACTGAAACCCAATACAGATGGGTTAAAAAAGTTACATTCTTCTATTGCAAGGTGTAATGGAAAAACTAATACAAACATGTAAGACCTGGACTCTGAGCACGTATGAGCTTCCCATGTGAATCATATACACACCTTGCCTTACATGAAACAAGGCTTCAATTTTTGAGTGTTGAAGCAATCACTCTTATGCTTTTCAGTCCTATGTTAAATTACATCAGTAAAGTAGACAGTAGCTGGTACTCTCAGAGCCTGCCATATTTACTCTGTTGTGGTCTAGATTTATAAACTGCCCAGGCACACGCCTTAAAGTGCACCGCACTGTACACACTGTACCACCCCACAGCTTTGACATCATCCCATTACTGTAACAGGCAACAGCAGAGAATTTCTTGAAGATGAGGAAAATACTGCTTTCTCTGGTGACTAAAGGGAGAGAGCGAGCTTATGAAATGGATGCCTTTGAACAACACACTGTATATCTTAGAGTACAAAGAATAGGATAGCTCCGAACCAATTAAAAATATACAGTAAGCAAGTAATGAAAAAAATTCATTTTATTTGAGTAAAACCATAATTTACAGATGAACACCACAAACCCTCTTGATTCAAATTCATTTGCTTCCATATAGAACCTTTGAATATTGGAAATAAATTAGACTAACAAGTAAATGTCTTGGTCACAAGGAACTTTTATGTTATGTGATTTTCCACTGCGTTACAACTTAATACAAAACTATAAAAATAAGACACTATTTACAAAATATATTCATTTGCAAAACTATTGGTTAATTCAAGTTTTAAGTTACATGATAATTTACACAGCTCAGTCACACTTTACAAACAGTTAAAAGATAAACCTACTCCGAATACAAAACGATATCCTCTCATGATCTGACTATGCCAATTCATAGTACTTGCCAGAATTTGGATCAAAGTAACAGTTCAGACATGGATCATACAAAAGAGTCAAAAATTCCTCATCTTCTTCAGCATTGAGGTCATCGTCACCTGTGTTAAGTGTGAAAAGTAAGAATAAATCATTCACTTTGACAAGAACACGGAAATACCTTTGTCAGATGTGACAGAGTTTTTCTTTAAAGTGTATACTCTTTTGACTTCTGAATTGTTACCTTCAAGATAACAGCAATTCACATTTTTGTTATATTTCTGAAGACTTGTAGTTAGTTGAGATGAAATGATGTCAGTGGAGCAGTTCACCAGAAGTACCCTTACTGATAGTGGATCAAAGTATTCCGAAGTGATATTTTTCTTAAACAATAATGTTTTAGTACGAACAAAGACAGTCAGTGTGTACTTAAGGCCTGTAAGAATGAAAGAATTTGAATGTCTGGTATCCAATATGTCACCTAAATGTCCAGTACAGGCAAATCTGTACAAAAGAGCTTTCAATACCAGAAAGGAAATAAGATTCTTTCAGACAATAAAGACTTTAAATTGAGGTTGTCTAAAGTTATGGAAAATGTAAGAACATTTTCAAGTAACAGAAATGAATCCGTAGCCTAAAATACACTGATAAAGCCATACAGACTTTTATTACAGATGCTTTATATACTGTAGCTCCTTTTCTAAACCTGTCTATCTTTCATATAAGCTAAATCTAAGTTAGATGATCTATAGATTTTTGATAGGAAATAATTCACAGTTGAACACAATCTGTATCTTGAATTTCATCATAAATGTTCATCTCATTCTCAGACTGCTAATACAAACCGAATGCTTTGTATGTTCTAACACTTCATAATAAGTAATGGCCTGTTATGCTAACAGCAGCAGTTTCACAACACTCAGATCTATTTACAGCCAGGATCACACAACGATATATAGGTTACATTATCTGGAGACCAGAAAGTAGGTTGGTGCACTTAATGCATACAGAAGAAGCGTGCACTTCATCGTTTGGGAAGAGATTTCATTTTTGTTTCCTCAGTAGCATTAACAAACACCATCAGAAAGAAACTGTCTCTCACTGTAACCAAAGGTAAAAAGGTAAAGCTAAATTGTTGCCCTCCTTGCTGTGGGTACTTCATCTGGCCTGGTAAGCTAAATGAGGTTAACCGAGATACTTTGTTTGGACAGCTCTTGGGAAAAACTATGCAGTGCAGAAAGAAGGCGTAGAACTGAACATCTTTTTCTACACTTCAGATCATAGTAAACAAGCAAATGGTATTCATGCCTCATTCCCTCACACAGCCTTACATTTTCATCTGAAACCATGTTATTTCCACAGAATTCTTCATTTTATTGTTTTGCTTTTCCCTGCCTATGCTTCTATTCAAAATGATTCTCTTTTCTTCTCTAAGCTTAAATCTCCTTCCCTCTCTACCTAGGAACTGGCCTCTCAATACACTCCCTGGTTTGATTTAGGAACAAGAAATTCTTCAGACTCATCAGGGCCCTGTATGCCTTGAATTCATACCAAATCAGAATTAGATTGCATCCAGGACTAGCTGGATTTATACCTTTATAGCAATAATTCCCTGCATCTATTTTCATGTGAACAAGAAGAGAACTTAGTTTTCTAGATGTATCATGTTTTTAAAGTCAGGCTTCTTTCTTCTAGCATCTCACAATATCCCCAAATGCAGTTTAAGGCATTTCTAGATGTTGCAACAGATTTCCAATGGCAGCATGGACTATTCAGTTTTGAACAGGTTAAAAAAAACATATGAAAACCTCACTTCTGTTCTTCTACTTCCTAAAAAGAAGTACTAATTAAATTAAGTGAAATTCCTCTACAAGACTCAACTAACGTGTAATGGTTGTGTTAGAATGCATCTTTCCACTTTCAAACGGTATATTGTGTGCAACCTGACCATATGTAGGAATGAAGTGTTCATGGCCAAATTAACTGATAAACAAGTCACTTTCAAAGAAAATTTTCATAGCTGTTTATGCTGCCACCATCCACGCTTTTGGGGTTGAAGTTGCTCAGGATTGCATAAAAAGACCTCTTGGCAGTTTAATTTGAATATCATGGCGAAAGCAAAATCAAAGCTTTTGTTCTTAAGTCACTATAAAATTAAACATCAGCTGTCAGCAGAAGGCATGCTGAAAAAAACACTGCTAATATTTTCTCTGATATGATCCTTGAACATTGAACTACAGTGCTCAGATCTATACTGTAATTATGTACTGCAGGGTTACCATACGACTATTGTCAACGGCTGTAGTCCAAGAAAGAAGACTAGTGCGGTGGTTCCTAGAGCAACCTTAAGACAAGTAACAAGATACAATAAAGTAAGTTCCAGAGAATTTGACGCTGCCTTTGTCACTTACTGTGGAAACTTTCTTGTATGACTTGTTATATGTCAAGGTAAATGAAATTGTCTTTAAATCAGAAATATCAATGCCCAATAAGGGAAGAATCTATGGAAATTTATCATATTTACGTGTCTAAATTTTCCTCTTGATCGTCTTGTGAAACCTGTTGAATAGAAGACTACTTCTCATTACATCTCCCTATTTAACTATGTACTATGGATGGTGCAAACGTTAAGAAATGAACTAGAGTGAAATGTTTTCTTAGAAATGAATCACCTTTTTTCCCCAAAGTTATGCCCCAATTTAAAGATTTTTTCTAAATATAAGAATTAAAGAATTTTTATAAATATACTAATGCTATACTATCAATTTTTCTTTAAGGATACTTTTAGATAAAATTAGTATCTTGAATACATTATGACTCATTGCAGATTTTCAGTACTGATAATATGCTTTTGTTATCCTGTGATACTTGGAATACTGGAAAACTGCACACACACAAAAAATAATCTTGTGACACTTAAGTCACTTCCCAACATGAGAAATAATTCATTTTTTAAAGTGATGTGTTTTTTTTTTAAAGTGAGTAGGGCAGCAGAATTTTCTGGAATGAATTTGAGCATTCAGTTTGTAGATCAGATCTGGTACTTAATTGTCAGTAATAAAACAGTTCTTTTGTCACACAAATAACTAACCTCAAGTGAAGTGATTAAGAAAAAAAATTTTTTTTTCTGAAGTGCTAGAGATGTATCACAGGACAAGACCTATTTAGCATCTCTTTCAAAAATGATACCATCTAGTTACCGTGGTCCATCAAGATTTTTTTAAACCAAGATATCTAGGATATCTAGGAAAACACAGATTCTAATGTTGGACAGGTACTATCTAATCTGATAGGCATGTATTACACGGCACTGCATTTTCACACACCGCCATATTATGTCCAAAGACCTGTGTTTAACTTAAGTGTATCTTTTATGTGAGCAAAACCACGTCAGTTTTCTCTCAATATAGTGCAAGGACTTCATTTTCCAAGGACTGTAAACAATCAGAAAGGGAGGTCTGGAGTTGCTTGAAGATGCTATATATTGTACAGGTACCCCCTTACTTTGCCAGTCAGGCCTCCCCTACCCACAGCTGCGACGATTACTCTGCTTCTTCTCTGCTACTTCAATAGGGAAGGGTGTCTAGTAGTTCAGAAAAAAATCCAAACTGTCCTGTTTGGGGAGGGAAGGTCATGGAACGGCTTTGTTGTTCTCTCTTATTTCCTCCAACATCTTGGGGAAATGAAGCTTGATCACTTCAACACTATGGCAGGTTTTTTCGAGTATTTGGAGATAGAAAAGTTTCTGTGTGAAGTTATCAAAATTACAAATATCATACATATACATGAGTCAGAATTTTATTTGATTGAATAAAGGCACAAAAATAAAAAGCCAAAATAAAAAGCTATGGTATATAGAGATTTTCTGTTCTCCAAATGTGCAATCACGGACACATGATGTAAAATATTTCAGCATAAAGGAAAATGAGTTTAGGAACAATTCACGAAACAGTTTGGAAAGTCTAGTGTGAATAACAGAAGAAATCCAAGAAATTCCCAAGTATACTTCTTTCTTAAAGCTTTTTAAAGATCATAATCCAATTTTTAAAATTTACAGAAATTCTACCTTTACTGCAGCAAGCCTTAGATCTCATAATACTAACTTAAAAAAATTTTCAGAGAGCCATCACAAATTTATATCCAACATGCCTTTAACTCAAGGATTACTGTCCAATTCTCTTTGGCTTATTTAGGACCCTTAACAAAACGTATTATTTGATTCTTCGAAGTAAGGTCCCTTCCTGACAGCAAAATTCTATTTTGCTGTCATAAACAATTACAAATACACATCTATGAAAACATTCCCAATTTCAGGAGCATAATCTATTTTAGACAGTAAATCACTGAGACATCTTCATCCCTCAGGCAGCCAAAATACACAGGTCAGATTTATGAGATTTCACATTGAATTCCCCAGACTTAAAGAAAAATCTAGGTATCTACCCTGTTTCCTAAAACAACCGATAAGAAAAAAGGGCATTTGAAGAAAACAAGGTATTTGTTTTATTCTATTGTTGACTTTCCAGTTTCAGCTAAGTTCTTTGCTATTCTCTAAGCAAACACCATTAATAAACAAAAACGTGTAACACTTTAGGTGGTGACAACAGTCTTTACTCAGGATATCACGCTGAGATTTCAAGGCTAAATCTGAAATTTTTCTTCATAAGAGAAGTATCACTTACATAAGCGTAATTGTGCTTCTGAATAAGAATGCTTAGTATTTGCGTTCTTTCTTTCATAGGTTTGCCATCCCCATTAGCATAAATTCCTTATTTAAAACAAAACAAGATGCATTTTTTATGAGTTAATCCATATCGAGCCAGAACATTAGGAAACTGCAACTGCATAAGTTATTCTTCTATCAGAGGCAAATAATACTGCATGGAAAACTCTGCTAGCTTGAGCTGAGAATAATAAATGTGACAGTATAGAAAACTACGAAAAGGCAGTACCAGCACTACAGAAACAGCATTTAGAAATGTCTTTCTACCCAGGTCCTTTTCATTGTCTTTATTAATTCCTACCTGGAATACTCTGATTTGTTGAAGATTTAGTGTGCTCTTCCAGTTGTTGGCTTCCAGGAACGATGGGGGGACTGAACACATTCAACCAGTCCCTGAAAAACACAAATCAAAATATCATTCATAAAAGCACAGTTTGTGTTCCTATTTGTTCTAATTCTTTCAATTATTAAAAAAATTTTCAAAGGAAATTGCAGGTTGTCGAGTGTGATGAAACAAAATCAAGCTGGATTTTATTATTATAAAAATAAACTTTACAGTTAATACAATTCTTAAATGTTGAGGCTTCCTTCTTTCCTTAGCCTTTTCACCTGTTCTGTTCACACTAAAAATCTCTGTTTTAAGTCAGGTTTGCTTTGCAGATTTCAGCTGGTATTGCTCTGTCAGCAAAAGGTGTACATGAGGTGTGATCCATAATCCACAGAGCTATACTTTGAAAGCCTACGGCACTCATGAGAGTCTTTTTCTGAGGAATAAAGACTTGAGATGAACAACCTGTGTTTGATGAGAGACTGTGGGGGTCAATTTGATTGAAAATCCTTACCCTCTCTAAGGAAAAAGGCTTAAAGACAATCACAAGAGATGTGTTTGCTTACCACGACTTGGCACTGCCTGGCTAGCCCCCTGTAACAGGGTGACATAGCAAGTGCGGTATCTTTCACAGTCTGGATGGTTGGTGAGTCAGAGCTGAGCTTAGACATGAGATGGATGCCACCAACAGCGTGATACCAACTCAGTGCTCATGAACTGTGGGACAGCTGATTTGTATTAAATAATTTAATCTTTCCAGTTTAATTTACCTTTAAAGGTAAATTTTACTTTTACTTTTTTTTTTTTAAATTACTTTATTTTTCAATAAAGGGATGGAATTAGTGATCAGAGCTAAGAATAACATGGTAACAGTTTTCTAGTGTTTTTAAGAAGGAAACATTGGATTGAGTCCAGATCTTATTGTTGAAACAATTGTTGATATTGAAAAAAAACTTTGTTAGGTAAATACATTATAAACAATTGTTTGTAGCAATTTTTTATTGCTATAAAATGTTACATGTTATAAATAAAAAATTTGTTATTGAGCGTAACATGATTTTAGCTACTGGCAAGACTATACAGAGGACTCATCACAGCTGTCACGTATCTATTTTGCTTCTGTAAAAAAAAAGTTTTGATGGGATCTTTATCATAAAGGAGGGAGTACAGACCTTCTTCACCCATTCAATTTAATGGGCAATTTATGCCTCTCCTGAACACTACTTTATGATAGCTGTTAAAGATGATTTTCATGTTATCATACATTCATGCAAAGTTCAATGTTCATTTCACATGCGCCACTTTATGATACACTGTCTTTGATTGTTACAGCTCAAAGAAAGGAAAACAGAACAGTCGTTTTTATTGTTATTGCTTTTTATTGCAAACTGAACTGCAGACTTGTTCACTGAAAAAGCGGGTAGGAAACACAAGAATGAGAGGTCACTCATATTATACTATCAATCAGAGAAAGATAGCCCTGGAAGGACACATCCAAGTCACAAACTTCTGACATTCCTTGTGCAGGTAACCATGTCTTGTAATTCTTTTCATATATTAAACTAACCTCTGTACACTGTGCATAGCTAATGCTTCCTTAAGTTCCCATCTCTCCTCTTCAACAGTAAAGAGCTGTAATACATTAAAGCTTCCATATAACCATTAACTAGACTAAATAAGTGCAAGTTAACACTTGAACACAGAACTCAAGGGACCTCAGTAAATCATCTCATTTTGATAGAACCAGATCCATCCTTTCTGACCAAGGGTCAAATTTGTTGGTCAAATTCACTTCAAGGCAAGGGGAATGGAAGGGAAAAGGGGTCTTTAAATTCCCTTATGTTTGCTTCATGCTGGTGGGAACAGGGCAGCTCTACCGAGTAAATTAAACTTGGTTTGGGGTTGATTCAACTTATGTCTGGCCATGGCTATTCCAACAGATAGCACAAAAACATTATGCATGTAAACTTGTGCTAGAGACCAAGAAGATTAGCCAGAGCTGTAGAGGTAACTTCAACATCCATGGCTTCCTCTGGAAGGATGAACTTTTCAAAAGTTTGACAGATTTCTTTACATTGCCAGACTACAAATGTCTCAACTCAATTGTCCAACACCAAGTAAACAGGTAACGTACTTCTACTTTCTGAAAAGCCTTGATGATCTCATGTAAGATTTGCTTCTGACAGAGAATCTGGCAAGGCTCAGTCATGTGTTATAATTGCTAAAATATGCCAATTGGGTTTTTTTTTTGTTAGTTTTTCTGCTATTTCTAGACTTGTTATTGATTCCACATCATCTCCTGTTGGCATGTACGCATAATCTGGGGTGAATCAGGGGACAACCACCTATCTGTTTGCAGTCAAAATGGAAAAAACTAATTTTCTGCCTCAGGAAACAGAATTGCTGGTGTAGAAATCCAGCAAGTAGTATAGCAGATTTAAAGGAAGAGATATTGAATTTTCCATCATTTCAATATGTAAAAAACATACTTCAAAATTTTTTATACCATCATATTGTTTTCACATGTATGGCCAACTTCACAACCAATCCTTCTCCTCTTCTCTGTTCAGCTAATGCCAGTGAGAACTGGCACAACTAATCCACACAGCAATATGCTTGCCTAGACATCTCATTATTAGCTCGCTCTCTTTGCTCACTGTATTTGCATTCCCTGAATACAATCAAAGATTCTTTGTTTACACCAAAGCTTCAAAAGTGTTTAGAAATAACAGTTAAATGCATGCTATGATATCCACTGTGGCATGGTAGAATATATTTTCCATTTCTGCCACTTGCATGTGTGGTTTTGTGCTGCCTCAGAATCAGCCAACATAAGCCTAACGCTAGAATCTGACCATGCTCATAGGATGTGGTCAGAGAGCACGAAGCCTTATCACTTACCTGACTCTCTACAATTGCACTGAAACACAATGTCAGCAAAGGCAACCTCTTGGAGAAACTGTGGCAATTTTAGAGAAGGTAGGGAAGAACTATTAGTGCTAATCTACATCTCTGCTTTCTAAGCTGCCCTTTCTTACATATTCACTACAGCTTTTTTAAAAGACAGTGATGTTTGAGATCCAGAGAAGAACTAGATTATTTCTGGTAGGAAGACTGCTGAAGCAAAAGTGGTCCAAGGACAGAGGAAAGCCAGTGCTTGCTTCTAAAGACAATTATCTCAGACCAACAAATGTAGTTAGAAAAGTAAAGAAGCTTTAGAGTATATATGCAGTTCTACAGGTCTGGCACAAACCAGAAGAGTTTAAAGAAACGTGTTTTTCATATAAAATATGTATCAGAGAATTTCTAAAGAAAATAGTTGGCACCTGGAAAGCAGAGAGGATGTTAGTAAGAAGGAAAGAAAGATAATAAGGCAATTACCTCTAATGGAAAAGAAAGAGACAATTCATTTAGAGAACATTGAGGGAGGGAGGTAATCATGTGCCATTAAACCAGTATTTCTGTTAAATTGGTAGTTCTTATTACTCAGGAAATTTATGAATTTTAGTTTGAAGTCTCATCTCTGGAAGGTCTTCCTGAAAGACCAAGTCTGAGAAATCACAGATGGGATGATTTGTGAGTAGCTGGATGATTTTGTCTTTGATTTTGTCCTTCATTTATTGGAGTAAATTCTCATGCAAAGGAGTTGTTCAGTATCATCTTTATACTTATTTTGATGCATCTGGTTTAGTAGATGAATTATTATTTTCTCTAGTAGGTGCAACTGTAAGATCTAGGGATTTTGATGGTTCTAAAGTGAGGCAAAGGAATGTTTATTTATGATAGAGGCAACAGAGATGTGTTGGCAAGTTTAATATTTCCTATTAAGACAGTCTAGATTCAGTTCATGTTTTTTCCTCTCAATGTCCACGAAAAACTAACAGTTTTGCTATTCAAACCCCTCCCAACAAGACAAGTAATCAAACCACTATAAATATTAGGGATTCATTGTTGACTTAACATTACTTTTCAGGTTGAAACATTTTACACAATTCCTATTAAAAACTGGTTTATTACTTCCATATGTTACTTAGCAATGTCTAAATCAACTTTTCCTAAAATCTTGAAAAAAAAAAAAAATCTCATAACTGCTGATATCTTATTGGCCAAATTGCAGCAGAGAGTAAATATTGGCAGTTGATTGATAAACCTTTGAAAAGTGGGATTACAGTGGTAATTCTGATAGATGCTGTAGTCTAGCAGTCAAGACAGACTTTTCCACAATGAAGTCTGCAGTTGCTTTTAGGAAGCAAATAAAGCATATGTATGTGTGAGAGAGAGTGTACGAGTTAATTTAAAAAAAAAAATCCTGAAAAATTTGTAGATCTTGCCTAGAAGTTGAGCCCAGCATGGAGACAACCGGCAGTATTCCGAGAAAAGCAGACTGTGGCCTGTGTTCCCATTTATTGTGTTTTTATTCTGAGTGAATAAAGAATATTCTTTTGGGGAACTTCTTTAAGAAGCTAGTTTATCTCCTTAAAACAGAAAAGCTAATCATGCATTCTGACTAATTAAAGGCACTCTATTTATGCTATCAATGCCTCCAGCTGTAATTAATACAATCAACATGCAATAAACTATGTAGAGCTTTCCTGAAAACAATGTGGAATGCTAAGTGCTGTCTTCGGACATTGTGAGTTGCATTGCATGAAGGCTCAGAATAGCTTCCACACACATTCAAAGCATCGTGCACCTTTAATGCTTGCACTGAAATTCTTCATTATTCTGAAAGCTATTCTCCATATCAAAATATAATAAAAATGTTATATAATCTTGTTATATTATGGTCTTTTCTTAAAAAATACTTTCAAAAAATGATTGTCATATATCAAAACATCACACGATAGCTGAACTGTGATGGAAGGCAAAAGAATCTTTTGGACTTGTGAACATCATTTTCAGTTTTATGACAGTATGTTAAATTTGCAGAAAATGGCATCCATCAGTAAAATCTGTTGAGAAAATTAGTGATGCTTTATTAAGTAGCACTTACCAATGACAATGTATCAAAATTACTACCATCAACAGAAATCTGAAGAATCAGAGGGTTTTGATTTAAATTTTA